GCTTTGCTTTGAGGTCAGATGGGTGGTTTGATGGGAGAAGCTCCTTCTGCTGGAGTGAGCAGAGTGTGTGTTTATTTAGGGTAACTAGATAATAAAATTTTATTATCTTGAGATTTTAAGATTAATTCGGGTGTGGACATTAAGGCATATTATGAAATGCAGCATTTTCTTCCCTTGTATCCCATTGCCTGATGTCACATGGATTTAACTGAGCTTTCTTGCATTCCTAGTGAGTGAGAATATAAAGGAGTGTTCTTTGTAATAGAAACTCCTATAAATGTTTGCTAATTGCTTGATTTGGAAGAAACCACTCATCTGTGTTCATTGTAACCTAGTCAAATGTCAAAAAAAAATTATACTGAGAATGGAGTTGGTTCTGGCATCTGTTTGTGTCTGTTAAAGAATAAACATAGTCCCTGCCCTCAGCTCACAGATTCAACTTGACATTGTATAAACAGGAAGTATGACACTCCAGAAGAGGAAAAATTTTAATGCTTTTGTTCCTCTGTGATTTCAGACAAGGTGGCCATTGATATACTAAGTGCTGTGGCGATTGTCAGTAGACTAGATTTTGTCTTGTATTGAATTCGTCTCACTGTTTTATCTGGAGTGGTTTTTCTTGAGTTTATGTACCATGGCAGTCACGTGGTAATAAACACGGGAACTTTGTGCCTATCCCCAAAGACTTTGTGTGTTAAAGGGGAAATCCAAGAAGTGAAAGTAAGCTTGATATTCGATTAACTTCTGGGGATTTTATAGGAAGACTCTATGGCATTTGGAAAACTTAGATGGCATCACATAACTACTTTGATGATGTTGTATGATGTAAGGGAACTCGGGTGACTTCAAGGGTAATGTCATACACTCATGTTTTTCTTTTAAATGAGTATTATAGGACATTCTCTCCTGTTAATTTCAGTTGCCATAAACTAGAAGCTGGTTGTTCCTCTTTCTCAAAAGTATATAATTTAAAGAAATGACAGCAGAAGTTTCTAGTTTTTCAAAGAGTAAGTATTCAAATCTGACCATATATTTGTACTACTTGCTGATATAGGGGCTAAGGTTTGTGGGGAGAAATCGAGGGATTCTATTTGGCCAGTATTTATTTGAGTTGAACCTGTGCATTTTGGTCTATAATGTATTTAAAGTGAAAAAGGACACTGTTTCTTATGTTTTGCCCTATAATGCTTGTCCCTCAGTACTTCCTTACCACATGTATTGTCCTCAAGTGGCGACTTGATAGCTTCTGGCCGTTCGTTTTTAGAGTGTTGGTCTTGTCATTTAATCAGTTGGGTGTGAATGACTGTGTCAGAAAGGCTGGTTGGCATTTCTATTTTACTCATTTCTGTGGCAGGGCAGTGCTCACCCTTTTTAGGGGAAAAATTACAGTAGAGTTGTGGTGGGAAGGGGTGTGTGTACAACAAGCAGAAAGTGTCACTCAGGGAGAGCCTGCTTGGCTGACTTCACAAGACTGCATCATGGTGGCATTTACATTCATGAATTTACCACTGTCTTCCTTTTGGTATTCAAACTGGGGTCAGAAACTAAGTATTCTTCAATAGATGGTACTTGGCAAAGTGGCTCTCTTTAACAGAGCTCACGAGAGCTTTTGTTTAAAGCCAGAACACCCATTTATTAATTTATTCCTGGACTATCTGTCAACAAGCCAGACAGTTGTGTTGGGTCGACTAGACCATCACACTCCCTACTGTTGTTAGGCTGAGAAAGGAGCCAAATTGTGAGGCGCTTTTCAGTGAGAACAGGATCAGGACAAGGCAAAGTAGTTATGTGATGCCAATGTTTAATAGCACTAGGCTCCTACAGCATTATGGATCCATTTCTAGAATTGGATGTGGGTGTGTGTTTATAGTGTTGAGTTGACTGAAAAGTTTGTTTAGTTTATTCCATAAAAGTAAAAGACACATTTTTCATTTTTACCATTAACTTATTGACTTGGATATTTTGAGTATGTTGGCTATCTCCCACTATTGGCTTCTAGTGGGCAGAGGCCAGGGGTGCTGCTAACCATCTTCCAATGCATAAGATGGTGTACAGCAAAGAATTACTTGGTCAAGACGTCAGTAGTACCAAGAAATTTTGCAAACCACTTTTGACATGTCCAATCAGTCACAGCACCTACTCCACACACTGCAACCCTTTTTCTGTTTCAGTGCAGGTTGCACTTCTACCTTCCTTGAAATGATAAACAATAATATGACAAAAATGTTGCATATCTTTTTCCATCTTCCATATTAAAATGGCTGCACAAAAATTGACCAATTTTGATTTTTTTTAAATGCACACTGATATGACAGCTGTGACAATACAGTCTAACAAAATTGTTTGGAATGAGGTTAAAGACAACTAAGCACTACTGGAGCCATCATATGGAAAAACTATAACGGACTTTTAGGCCAACCCATTACGTAGGTATTGTTAGGTGTGTCAAATACTCTTCTTTGGACTATATTCAGCCTATTACTATAGTTGCTCTTTTCACCCCTCACCCCCTTCAGGTGGGCACTGTCTTTAGGTATGTTGATGAAATCAAGTTCCAGTTATGCCTTTTGGGGCATGGATCATTGGGACTCCTGGCGACTTCACGTAGCTCCACTGTGGTCTGTTAATTTCAGGATTTCACTCACTGGGAACTATCTCATTTTCCCCCCTTTTGGTTTGTGGTGTGAGCATGTGCAGGGGTTCCTTACTTTTGCTCCCAGGTATAATCAGTTAGTTTCTCCAGGTCACAGTTTGAGTAGCTTTTGACTATAAATTTAACCTCTTTCCCTTGACTTGCTATTTATAGAGGAAAGCAGGAACGAAAACAAACAAACCCCCCCAAACATGACAGCAAATATCTGATGGCCTCTTTTACTTTACTGAAGACCACTGATGTGGAAGATGTGACTAACCTAAAAAACAGCTGAGCTCCTCCAAAATAGGCATTCAGAGTGTCTGGGAGGAGATGCCCAAGTCAGTGTCTCCTAGTGCTTGCCCTGTGGGACGTATGTTTCAAGTGGCACGATGGATGGGCTGTGGAGCGGCGCCAACGGGGTGATTCATCAGGATTAATCAGAAGAGTTCAAAAGGGACCTTGGACGAACTCTTCAACATTTTTCTTCGTTTTATTTTTAAAATTATATAATCTTTGCTAAATGACAAACCCTGAAGGTTGACTGGTGTATTTGGAGAAGAAAATGTCTGTGCTTATGAGGCATCTATTTATTTGTTATTTAATTTTGCCTACTGTTCTTCATATCAAAACAGTTTGCATTGTTTCTTGTAAGCATGACCGGCAGGAGACATCTGTGTTTCCACAGTTCCCCTGTGAAACACACTGTGGCCCTCGTCCAGGTTCAGTGCTTGCTCTTTAGGTGAAACCCAAATCTTTTTACTAGGGTTCATTCAAGTAGCATTTTAAAAGAGAATTAGGCTCGAAGCCATGCCTCTTTTATGTGTAAAGACTTGTTGGGAAGATGATTTAACCCCAGTACACTTCAGGATAGCTTTCTCCAAATTCTGCTTAAGGTATTATTTTCCTACTATATCTAGGTTTATTGGTTTGTTGTTGAATTTTTTTTGATTGGTGTTGCCCAAAGCTCTTCATTGTTTGAGGAAAGAGTGGGTCCCACTGGAAGGGAGGAGGGGGACCCTCGCTGGGAGTCTGCAGTTTGGATTCTGGCCCTGCTGTTAATTAGCTGCCTGACCCCTGGCATGTCGGCCTGCCAGGGTCTCTGTGTCTTCATCAGGAAAACAATGGGCTCGGAAAAATACATACAGACCCCAGCCCAAGTGATAAGAAAGATCACCCTGTGTACTTACTGTTGTGGGGTTCTGTGAATGGTAGCACATCTGGACTCTATGCTTCTTAGTGATCCCTACAAAACCTGTGGTTGGTCTGGGGTTGAGAGGTTGTGTGCAGTGTTCCACAGAGGCTGTTTTTAAGCTCTCAGGCAAACTAGGCAGGTTTGGAAGCACTGCTGTATGTAGGAGTTTCTCCCTCCCTTCCCAGCTCTCTCTCCTTCGTTCTTTTTCTTTTTTCTTTCAGGAGAAACCTGCTCGCCTTCTACCTTCCTTTCCTTAGTGCATTAACAATGGTGCAGTGGGTAACACAACCCACTCAGGTTTGTTAACTGTTTGGAGTTGTCTAGCCATCTCATCTCAGTTACTGCAGGGAGGAGAGAGCTGAGGGAGACTGCCAAAATGATGAAATAATGGTCCTTTTGTCTGTCTCTTGCTGTCTGGATGGTTTCAGGTTTCATCTTAGGCCTGGGCCATTGTGTTGTTTTTACGTTCTCAGTACAACCCTGTTTAAAACTACAGCTGGTTTATTGAAAGGATTCTGCCCTAATGCCACTGGCCTGTTCTGCTTCCTGCCCCCCACCCCCCAGAAGAGTCATAACTCTTTGTAGTAAAAAACCCATTCCAGTGTGGGCTGTTTGATCACGTCCCTGACATCAGTTTTAAAATGTGTTCCCACTGTGTTTATTTTGCAAATGCTTACAAGGTATGTTGCTTTCTGATAGTCTTCCAAAACGTTATCCGTGTGGTTATATAATCAGTAGCACCTGTAAAACACATTGCCTTTGACCATGTAGCTTCCTTCTTAACCATTATCTTTTTGATTCTCTCTTAATGTTTTTTTTTTTTTTTTTGGTTGGGAGGACTCGCATTCCTATGCCAGACACCTTACAGTAACATGCCTAGATTTACCCTCATAACTTTAATTAGATGTGGAATGCTGAGAATGCACTGTTGTGGTTTTGTTTTTTTTTAACTTTTATAGTTAGTGAACTTGTGATCGCTTCATTAAAAGTTACAAAACACTCGTATCTTTAGCATTTAGTTCCCCATTTTTATTCATAAAAATTAATGTAAAGACCAAGGTTCCCTTGTATTATCTTAAATGATGTGTTTGTTTGAACACAAGTTAACACTTGTGTCAATATGCAAGTTATATTCTAATTTCCAGCTCTTCTCTCCCTTCTTTTTGTCTTTAGAAGTGAAGGAGTGTTGAAGATGCTGAAGGCTGTGCTGAAGAAGAGCCGAGAGGGAGGAAAAGGAAGCAAGAAGGAGACAGGTGTGTGCCCGGGAGCGAATTGGGTGGGGCAGGCGTGGTGAGAGTCAGGGCATTAGGGCCCTGTTCCGGCCCAGTGGATGTCACTGCCCGGGAATGGGTCATCGGAGAAGTGACAGGCGTTAGATGACAGCACACTGGTGCCTATGGGAATGAAATACATTTCTAGATTTTGTAGAAGTGACTTTGAAAATGGAGTTTGGGTTATGAACCAAATCCCTCTTGCAGACCTGTAAGGTTCATAATTTTAACAGGTCATTCAGATCCCAAGTTCGAGTTCTGGACGTTGTGGGATAGCATGTGTGTCCAGGAATGTGGTTTCTAGGAAGCCTTTTCCCTTTTCCCACACGCAATTGCAGTTTATGTGTTTGACCAACTGCTGGCTGACTAGGCCTCATCTTTTGAGTATCCGATTATCCCCTTAACAGGTGTAGCCTCACTCAGTGCCAAACTTCTGGTTTTCATTATGATGGAGCTACATACTTAATTTGGCTTGGATTTCATTTCTGTCTGTGGAGTACTGGTACATGTGTGGTCAGTGCGACTCACCATTCCAGCCCCTGTGATGAACTCCTCTCCTAAGGTTATTTTGGTGACCACTCAGTATTACACCCTGTTTCCCTTGCTAGAGAAACTACATATTGTCTACCTGTACTGAACAATAAAATCCTGTTAGCATGGGTTAATATCCCTGAAATGTGCCATTTCACTCTAAATTCATGTTAATCCAGAATCGGAGAATGGCTGATATTCTGAATTATTATATATTGAATAACATCTCACTTCTAATTTCTCTTAAAATATAAACAAATACACTTAATAACAAAACATCACTGAGTTATAGTTAACTCCTTACTTTAAGAGATCTTGTAATACCTTGTGGTAATACCATTAATGTCTACTGTTTTTGTACTGATAGATAAAGCAGACTTACAGAGTTTTTGATTTTGGAACCTAGACAAATTCTCTATTAGTTAACCCTGAAACCAAGTCTGCAAAATGGCAAACTTACCTTAAACGTCCAGTCTTTGTTGTAAACTCTCTGTTAAGATTCCATTAGAAGCTCTCATTAATGCCCAAGTAAGCAGATACAAAGAAAAAACCAGTTTTTAATGACAGATACAGGACACCATAGTTAGCTCTTAACCTTAGAAAATTAACCCTTAGCTTTGCATAATTAGAATTGTTACTATGGAGAATTTTGAGTTCACATAATTTCTATCCAGAGGGACATTCACCCTCTGTTGGGTCATGGCCAAAGTATCCTTCTCTTTATTTTCTGAAAGCAGTTAAAAGAATCTTTTTTTTTTTTTTCAGTTTTGTCTCACCTGACACTCATCTTAGGAGCTTTGTTTATTTGCTGCTTTGTAATTTTAAGCATAGAGTTAGATCCTAAGCTGTCTGGCTAAAGCTACCAGCCAGTGACCAGGGTCTCCAAGCCAAAGCTCCGCACTTCATACCAGTGTTTTACAACAGACCCACCATCCTTTATGGCTAGTCCAGACATGTGAAATAACAGTATATGAATAATTTTCTGCAACCTGCCTTTCAGATGGGCCAGAGAATGAACATAGTTTACGTTTGAAACTTTCAGTTGTAGAGCATGTGATTTTTGGGTCCAATTCCCCCTTTGGTCTTTAAGAGCAACTACTGTTTTTTTGGAAACCTTTTTTTTATAATAAGTCCCACACTATGACTTTTTACTAATGCAAACCAACTTGAAAAATCAATGGGAACCTTTCTCATAAAACATCTGTATGGTATGTGCCTTTTTCCTTTCAACTAGAACCTGGTTATATTAGTTGGGGAACAAAGCAGATGGAATTTAAATCTTGAAGTTATATCACAAGTTGATTGGGAAAAATACTTGGAATTTGACCATTCATGTGCTGAGCTCTGTGCCAACTCTCATTATATAAGTAAATCATAGCTAAGTTTCTCTATAAATTGAAGCTGGCTAATCAGCTGAGACTGCTCTGAAACTTGGGTAATAATATCTCCTGAAATATGGAAAAATTTTCCTCTACTGTTCCCAATTAAAAACAATCTTTGTTGCAAACACAAGGGAAAATTCATTGTTATGTATTTCACTCTCATAGAAGTATAGGAAATATTTCTATCTAAAATATTGAGTTCTGCTTTTCTTATCCTTTGTGGGTTGTTTCTGACAGACAATTTTGAACCACATTTTTATGTTGAACCTATTTTAAGAATTTAGAAAATAATCACTGAGTTAAATTTAGCATTCTTCAAATGAAAGCAAGTATTTTTCACAAGTATTGAGAAGTTGTTATGTCCTCAGCCCCTATCCCTAAAAGAAGATGTCATATGTACGTACTATAAACTATGGGTAAAATGTTAGCAGATAAATGACACTCAAGTTATATGTATGTAAAGATTTTTGAAATATTATGTACAGTGAAATACTAAACTATTGAAAGCCATTACATGAACTCTAAAAATATTGAAAGTCTTTTATGATTATGCTTTTTTACCTAGGACTTGCTTATAGTTGAGCAAAAAATGTTTTCTGGAGGCTATAAAAATCACACCAGAGAATGTAATATTAAAAACTTTAGAATGTGTTTTGGGAAAGTAAATTTACCTTGTCTTCATTCCGTCAGGGCAAATGAGCACTGTCTTTCTCTTGACATTGAGTTGGGCGGGGGTAGGGCTAATGGTACAAAAATCAATATTAAACTATAATGTGGGGAATGCCAGGTGAGGGCATGTATTTTTTCTCTCCATGCTGTTATGTTAGGACCTTGATCTAAAGCAAGCAAATGAGGTGTTATCTTTATTTCAAAGCTCCCTGGAGAGGTTGGCAACCTTCTACACATCTCTTTATTTTATGTGACTTTTATATTTTTTTTTACCAGTACAAAAATGAAATATTTTTATTTGCCCAATGTAGGACGTTGCTCATCTCTACCTGAATTACTGATTTTCTTCTTCTTCTTTTAAAAATATATTTTATTGATTATGCTATTATAGTTGTCCCATTTCCCCCCTTTACTCCCCTCCCCCCTCCCACCCACATTTCCCCCCTTTAGTTCATGTCCAGGTGTCATAAGTTCTTTAGCTTCTACATTTCCCACACTATTCTTGCCTTCCCCCTGTCTATTTTCTCCCTACCATCTATGCTACTTATTCTCTGTCCCTTTTCCCCCTCTCTCCTCCTCCCACTCTCCTGTTGCTAACCCTCCATGTGATCTCCATTTCTGTGATTCTGTTCCTGTTCTAGTTGTTTGCTTAGTTTGTTTTTGTTTTTGTTTTAGGGTGTGGTTGTTAATAATTGTGAGTTTGCTGTCATTGTACTGTACATGTTTTTTATCTTCTTTTTCTTAGATAAGTCTCTTTAACATTTCATTTAATAAGGGCTTGGTGATGATGAACTCTTTTAACTGGACCTTATCTGAGAAGCACTTTATCTACCCTTCCATTCTAAATGAAAGCTTTGCTGGATAGAGCAATCTTGGATGTAGGTCCTTGCCTTTCATGACTTGGAATACTTCTTTCCAGCCCCTTCTTGCCTGTAAGGTCTCTTTGGAGAAATCAGCTGACAGTCTGATGGGAACTCCTTTGTAGGTAACTGTCTCCTTATCTATTGCTGCTTCTAGGATTCTCTCCTTCATTTTAATCTTGGGTAATATAATTACGATGTGCCTTGGTGTGTTCCTACTTGGGTCCAACTTGTTTGGGACTCTCTTAGCTTCCTGGACTTCCTGGAAGTCCATTTCCTTTGCCAGAATGGGGAAGTTCTCCTTTATTATTTGTTCAAATAACTTTTCTACTTGTTGCTTTTCCTCTCCTCCTTCTGGTACCCCTATAATTCAGATATTGGAATGTTTAAAGATGTTCTGGGGGTTCCTAAGCCTCTCCTCATTTTTTTAAATTCTTGTTGCTTCCTTCTTTTCTGTTTGGTGGTTTCTTTCTTCCTTCTGGTCCATATCATTGGAGACCCAGTTTCCTTCCCATCACTATTGGTTCCCTGTGCATTTTCCTTTATTTCACTTAATGTAGCCTTAATTTTTTCATCTAATTTTTGACCAAAATCAGCCAATTCTTTGAGCATCCTGATCACCAGTGCTTTGAACTGTGCATCTGATAGGTTGGCTATCTCTTAGTCGCTTAAAAGTATTGGCTTTGGGGCTTTCATTTGTGCTTCCATTTGAGCCTTTTTTTTTTTTTTGTCTGGTCACGCCTGTTACTTACGAGGGGCGGAGCCTTAGGTGTTCACCAGGGCAGGTCAACCCAGTATCTGGGTTGTGACACTGAATGTGGGTGCAGCGTCAGAGAGGGAACTAGGGCAGTTGCTCCACTCTCGGTTGGATTTCAGTTTCCTCTGCCACTTCCTACAAGCAAATTGGGTCCTTCTGGTGCTGGTTCCCAGTGGAGGGGTTTGTGTATGTTCTAGGACTCTGTGGGTCTCTCCAGTGAACTCTCCTGTGAGACTGGGAATCTCACCTGGTATCCTCAGCCTCCACAAATGTTTTCAATCAGTGCTTTTAGGCTTTACTTCCTAGTGCTGGGGACCTGGGTTGCACACTCTGTCTCGCTGCCCTTTTTCATCTGGTTTATCTGTGCTCGAATGTATGACTGGACAGTCAGCTGCCTTGCGCACCTCACTGGGTCTGCTAGTTGTCTCCCTGAGCCTGAGGTCTGCCACCGGGGTCTGCTAGCCACCACTCTGTGTGCCCAGGTCTGCCAGCCATTGCTTTTTCCTGTCTCAACTGGTCTCTGCCAGCCGCTGACTCCACCCCTCTTACTGGTCTGGATGAATGGTCATCAGGACTTCCTTACAGTTCAATTTTCTGTTTGTTCTAGTTGTTTTTTGGTTTCTAAATTTTTGTTGTCCTTAATTTTGGTTGTGCAAGGAGGCACAGTGTGTCCACCTACGCCTCCATCTTGGCCAGAAGTCTATTTTATTTGACCTTTGCTATCAGAAAACTTTCATGGTACTATTATTAAACTTATTTAATTTGAATATGAAATAATTACTA